ACATCTCAAAGGGATGACCATTTGGGATAGACATACTTGGGGTTGAAGTCCTGACCTGTAGCAATCCTGTGGAAACAGTCTGTCCAGGACAGGCTATCTCATTCTGTCCTCCACGCCAAAAACCTGAAAGCATAAGAATGTGGGTGAAGGGTATGCAGAATCTGGCGGGGAAGGGTGATCCCATTAAAAATGCTTCTGTGACACAGCAGAGAAGAGTCTGTGGATTTGTTTTTAGGACAAGGGAGCCAGGTCAGGTCAAAGACCAGATTGTTTAGTAGTGGGCCTCCAGGGGGGAGGGCCCATAACTTATTAAAAAAAAAAAAAGAAACAAAAATACAAAAATGGATCAAAGACCTTAATGAAAGAACTGAAACGTTGAGACTACTAGAGGAAAACATAAAGGAAACATCTCAAGATATAGGCACAGGTAATTACTTTTTGAATAGGACTCCAATAGCTCAGAAAATAAGAATAAGAATTGATAAATGGGATTGCACCATATTAAAAAGCTTCTGCACAACAAAAGAAACAACAGAGTTAAGAGAGCCTACATAATGGGAGAAAATTTTGCCAGATATTCATATGACAGCAAAAAAAAGAAAATAATCCAATCAATAAATGGGCAATGGAACTGAGTAGATACTTGCAAATAAAGACTTACAAATGGCCAATAAACTCATCCTTAGCCATCAGGGAAATGTAAATCAAAAATAAATTGAAATCCATCTCACCCCAGTCAGAATGGCTATCATCAAGAAAAGAAATAACAAAAAAGGCTGGCCAGGATGTAGGGAAAAGGAATCCTTTTATACTATTTGTGGGAATGTAAATTAGTGCAGCTACTATGGAAATCAGTACAGAGGCTCCTCAAAAAATTAAAAGTAGAACTTTCATGTGCTCTAGCCATACCACTTTTGGGAATACACACAAAAGAATCAAAGTCAGTTTACTATAGAGATACCCATATACCTATGTTTATAGTGGTACTGCTCATAATAGCCAAATTATGGAATCAGCCTAGGTGTCTATCAACAGATGAATGGGCAAAGAAAATGTGGCATATATACACAATGGAGTGTTATTCAGCCATTAAGAAGAATGAAGTTATGTCATTTTCTGGAAAATGGAGAGGACTAGAAAACAATGTCAAGTGAAATAAGCAAGTACACAAAGACAAATATATCATGCTTTCCTTCATGTGTAGAAGCTAGGGAGAAACAAAACAAAACAACAAAACAAGGTAATGAAAGTAAAAGGGGAACTCTGGGGAGGGGGGATGTACATTAGAAAGATAAAGAATACTAGAAGGTGTGGCCAAAGTACACCTGCACCTATGCACAATTGCACCAATAATAACAATAAACAGGAAATGGTGTCAACTGTCGTTAGTAGGACATTGTCTGTTGGAGACAGGTAAGGACTACACAAAATGTGTTCCACCTGCAGGAAAATGCAGCTGCCTCAAGGTTGCTGGTGTTCAAGGATGACTTAAATACATAAGCACATCTCACAACACATTATGGTTAGTATTGGAGAAACTGCAGAGGGAGAGGAGCTAGAGAGAAGTGGGAAATAGCCAGAGATCAGAAGTCAGCAGAAAAGACACATGGGCAAAGTGTGAAGTAGGTGGAGGCATGACAGAAATATGATATGGTCATGAGCCTTGGCTCTGAAAAAGTGGGGAGCACAAGAACTCTGCTCAACCCTAAACTCATGCCCTGCCACTGTAACTACTCATAGGTTCAGGACCCAATAAACCCCTCTAGCTATGGCTGGAGACTATCTGGGACCTGAAAAGTAGAAAGTTCTAAGGGGAAGACAGGAGTTGAGTGAATGACACTGGCCCAGAGTGTACCAACCTTGAAGGAGGACCTTCCTATCATAGTCCAGTGGTCATGAAAATAATGATGCTGTGTCTATAATTTCTGAGATGGGAAGGCCCCAAGAAATGTCCACTAAAGGCACAGGTAGAACCTGACACCATTAGATTTGCCACACAGCTAAACACTCACCTGGGCAAGGTGGCATCGTTTGAACAGGCTACAAAACTATGAACCAACACCCTTAACTGAAAGGCTTAAAAACAACAGATGTTGGGTTGCAGAACGCCCAGGCCTGACAAACAGAGTACCCACGTTAGGACTCCAGGGAAGGAAGCAGGGACCAGGTTCTATACTGGGGAGGACAGGATGGTTCCTGGAGAAAAGGGGCACACAGAGCCCAGCAGAATTGATCGTGTGGTTGTGAGGTACTTACCCACTGTGGCCATGAGTGCAAAGTTCTCCAGCATCACAGCATGGTACAGGCTCCTCTGAGCTGCATCAAGGAGACTCCACTCCTCCTGGGAGAAGCATATGGTAACATCCTCAAAGGTCACATGGCCCTGTCATAATGAGACAGGTGAGTTCATGAGCAGCTTCAACCCCAGGACCCCCCTAGGACATGACTCTCCTCCCCAGCTCTCCAATGCAGAGAAGACAAAGGCTCTAGTGCCACTGCTCTCCACTACTCCTCATGCCCCACGGATCACTGTCTCCAGCCACTATGACCAGCCAGTGAGCACCCTCATGGCTTAAGCACTGAGCACCAGAACCCTGACAATGTCCATTCACACTCACTCCCCACTGGTACATCCCTCTAGGGCTGGAAGCACCCTAACATCTCCAGATCATGACTGCTACACCCCTAATACCAGATACCTCACTGGCTTCTCCCACATGCCTTGCTGTTCCTGTGCTTGCCAAATGCAACCAGGTCCCAGCACTACTCTAGCCTTCTGCTGAGGCTGGGCTAGTAGCAGCTCCAGCACTTGGGAAGACCTGCCAACCTCACCTGGCTCCTTTTCCCAGCCTTAGCCACCCAAAACCTGTGTGGGACTCAGACAGCCTAAGCCTTCTTCCTTGTCCATGCTGCCTGTGCTGTCCTACAGGTAACAGCTTCCAAAGCCCCCAAATGCCTCCTCCACAGGCAAACAACTCTCCAAGCTGACTTCATCTGTACCTAACCTACCCTATATCATGTCAGAAATTCCTCAGGCTCCACCAAGAGTTATCATCAATGAGTGGGTCTGACCTCAGTGTTGCTTAAGTGTCATTATTTAGATGGATAAAACCACATGCTTGTGAGGAAGTGAACAGAAACACTCTGTAGAAGAGAATGCAAACTGGTAGCTCCATTGTGGAAGACAGTTGACAGTTTCTTATAAAGCTAAATGTTTCTACTTATAATCCAGTAATGAAGCCCCTTGTTAATACCCAAAAGAGTTAGAAACTTATGTCCATACAAAACCCTGACCAGGATGATTATAGCAGCTACATTTATAACTGTCAAAACTTGTAAACAACTAACAAGTCCTTCAGTAGGTGAATGGACAAACAACAGCACATCTACACAGTGGAATATTGCTCAGCCCTAAAAAGAAATGAGCTATCAAGCTACAAAGATGTGGAGGAAACTTGAATGCATATCACTAAGTGCAAGAAGTAATCTGAAAGGCTACACGTTGCACGATTCTTACTATATGACATTTTGGAAAGGGCAAAATTAAGGAGACACTAAAAAGATCAGTGGTCTACAGCGGGTGGTAGAAGAGGTGGGAAGGATGAATCTGGGCAGTACAGAGGATTTTTAAAGAAGTGGCAAGAGTGTGTGGTGATATGATGATGACTACATGTCACTATACATTTTCAATCCATGCAATGTGTAACATCCAGGATAAACACTGAGGTGAACTATGAACTTGGGGCAGTTACTATGTATAAATGTAGGTTTAGTCATAATAAATGCACCATTCTGAGGAACACTGCCAGTGGGGAGAACGTGTGTGTGTAGTGGGAATGCTTAGGAAACCAGTTCTTTCCTTTCAACTTTATTATGAACTTAAGAGACATCTTGAATAAAAAAAAGTAAAGTAAAAAAAGACATCTCACTTCTCATAGTATTTCTGTTAAATACTCAGTAAACAGTGGTTCCACATTTCTACCTGTTAGAGCCAAAAATCTCTACTGACATCTCCGACCTCTTTTATCATCCACAGCAGAATATCAGCTCTAGTGACAAAACAAATTAAAAACCAAGCTCCTCTCCCAACTTCAGAGTTGCAGCTGTCACCAGCTCTTGTCAGTGCTCACCAGGATTGTTACAGAAGCCTCCATACTCACTCCCCACTCTGCTGACAATCAAGCTTATTTAGACCTGAATCCTGTATCAACTACTTCCAAACACTCATGTCTTCCATCACCCTCGGCAGAGGACTTTGCTCCTTAAACTGCCACTCCAGGACTGACTCCTGTCACTCCTTCTCTGTTCCCAGAAGACAAAATGGAGGCATGCAGTTTCTTAACACACCCACATCATTCTCAACAGCAAATATTTAGACAGGTTATTTCTAGGTTATTCCTTTACCTAGGAATAACCTGGATAACCTCATCCTGTGGGCTGAAGACATAGGAACACCTCCTTGTAACTTCTGACCTTGATTAAAAATTGGGAGGCTGCAATGACAGAGCTCCAGGACTAAAGACGCACAGTCCTAGGACACCATTATCATCTGTCTGTGTACTAGAACTATGGCAGTCAAGGACCGGGGCCAGTGCAGGCCAAGGACCCCTTTACTTACCTGCAATGGTTCCATAAACTCTTCCGCTGCCATGGAAATCTGTGGGAAGAGGGAGGGTATGAGATAATGGTGATCATGTGGCATTTACAAAGGCTAAACTCCCACAAACACACACACCTGCCCTGCTCAGGAGAAGAGCCATCTCAGACTGACATACAACCTCAGACCCCAGTCATCAGTGCTAGCTCTTGCCAACTGGACAGCTGGACAAAGACCTAACCACTTTGAGGTTCACTGTCATCAGGGAAATGAAAATCAAAACCAGAAACTTCTACACACTTATTTTTATGATCAAAATCCCTAACACTGGTGATGCCACATTGGCGAAGATAAGCAGCAACAGGAACTCTCTACTGGTGAGAAAGAAAAACAGTAGCAGCACTGTGGGTGACACTTTGGTAGTTTCTTACCATGCTAAAGACTTTTAGCAAATATTCCAATAATCGAGCTACAAAGAAATTGAAAACTTACATTAATGTAAAACCGTTCCATTTCCATAAAGTGGAAATGGTGGGAACTGCTTGGAGCTGCTGCAGGCATCAGGCTCATTAGTGTGTGTCCAGTGCTGATATTGAGCTGTTACTGACCACAAAGTTAACAATTCTATAAGTGAGTTTTGAAAATGTGGTTGTTTCTTATCTGCCACTTAAGATTTCATGTGGGAGAGATTCCAAGATGGCAGCTAGAGGGAGGAAGCAGAAAGCATGCCTCATAAAGTAAAATCTTGGAGAGACACTAGAGATACACCTTACAGGAAAACCAATGAGAAGAGGCAAAACTTTGAGACCTCCACACCTCCAGCCTGCGCATAGCATCTCCACTTCATGTTAAACGGAGAAACCAGGAGGGCTACCATGCCAAACGGCAGCACCCAGATGGCTTGGGAAGACGCGGACCACAAGGTGAGCTAAGTGGCACTCGGTACTCCCACAGACAATCCTGGGCCAGATCAGCATAGCCCCCTGGACAGACCGACCCCCTACCCAGGGAGAAAAAAAGAAAAAAAACTGAATAATAAGCAATTATTGCTTATTATTATTATTATTGCTACAAAAAAGACATGTAGCAAAGAGGGTGCAGCGCCCTGAGCTCCGAAGCGGGGGGGAAGGGAAATCCCTCACAAGCTGGAGGGAAGGAGCAGTGGCACACACCCAGCAATCAGGAGTGGGAAAGCTTGTAAAAGTGGCAGTGGGAGGAAAACTCCACAAGAGAGGGGGGAAGACCCACTTCCCACCTGAGCTGTAAATAAACAAGCAGGCCTGAGAAAGCTGGTGCAGTGTCACCTTCCCCAGTGGGCTTGGAAAGGGGAAAGCTTGTAGCAGTGGCAGTCACAACCAGGAGAACTCTAAGTAAAAAAAGCTGAGGGGCTAGGTGACTGTTAAGCTCACTTCTGAGATCTGCATAAATAAAGCCTCCAGCAACAGCAGGCTGACAGCAGCAGGCAGATGAGCCACAGCCTCAGACAGTCATTCACAGAACTGTCTACAGACTCTTTTTTTTTTCTCCCTACCTTTGATGAGACAACAACTGAACTACACCTGCGTGCTGAAAAACTTACTGAAACTGTATTGCACTTGAACTTGGGACACTTTGTGGGTTTTTTTGTTTTGTTTTGTGTTGTTTTGTTTTTAGTTTTTTTCCCCTTCTATGACACAATGAAAAAACTACATCTGAGACACCATCTCCACGATTGGAGGCTGAGGAACTAACACCAAAATTATTAAGACTGAAACTTTATTGCATTTAAACTTGGAGATCTTTTTTTCATTTACTTTTTTTACTTTATTTTTTCAAACCTGTCTCTGTCTCTCTAATGCCTGTGCAGCTTACTGTCGATTAATACACTATCTCTCCCTGTTCATATATTTGAAACTTTTTTGTTTGTTTCTTTTTTTTGTTTTTTCCTACTTGTTTATTTTTCCCTTTTTCTTTAACTTCTTTGCTTTCCATCTCCTCTCACCCTTCCATTCTAAATATCATCATTGTTATTATTACAAGCTAGAAAATACTTAATTGCACACAGTACAGGGACAATAACAACACCAAAGGCAATGATGGGAAGACAGAAAAAACAGGGAAACCAGTTTACCCACAGAAAAAATTAGTACAGGAACCAGAGGGAAATGGAGAAAACAGATACTCAGATCCAGACTCCAATAAAATGAAGATAAACTATGGCAAGGAACCCAATGAAGCCCACAAGAACAATCTAAAAGAAGAAATACTACAGGTAATCAATGAGAATTTTATAGAGATGATAATGGATATGGTCAACCAAAATGTACAGGAGACACTCAAGAAATTCCAAGACAACAAAAATAGAGTATTTGAAAAAGCACAAAAAGAAATAAAAGAAACCACAGAAGCACTGTATAAACACCAAAGTGAAATTAAGAACATGATTAATAAAGAGATAAGTGAACTCAGGACAAAAATAGACAACATTAAAGAGGAAGTGACTCCGGATATGGAAAACCTCAGAAAAAGAATGAAACAAAATTGCAAAACAAAATGGAAGGCCAATCTAGCAGAATAGGACAAACAGAAGACAGAATCTCAGAACTCAAAGATGAAAAGGTAATTAAAGGAAAAACTGAAGAACTATTAGTTAAACAACTCAAGACCTGTGAAAAGAAAATGCAAGAACTCACTGACTCCATCAAAAGACCAAACCTGAGAATCATGGGCACTAAAGAAGAAGAGATGCACACCAACAACAGGTGTTGGTGAGGATGCGGGGAAAAAGGAACCCTCTTACACTGTAGGTGGGAATGTAGACTAGTACAACCACTCTGGAAAAAAATTTGGAGGCTACTTAAAAAGCTGGACATCGATCTACCATTTGATCCAGCAATACCACTCTTGGGGATATACCCAAAAGACTGTTACTCCAGAGGCACCTGCACACCCATGTTTATTGCGGCACTATTCACAATAGCCAAGTTATGGAAACAGCCAAGATGTCCCACCACTGACGAATGGATTAAGAAAATGTGGTATCTATACACAATGGAATTTTATGCAGCCATGAAGAAGAATGAAATGTTATCATTTGCTGGTAAATGGATGGAATTGGAGAACATCATTCTGAGTGAGGTTAGCCTGGCTCAAAAAACCAAAAATCATATGTTCTCCCTCATATGTGGACATTAGATCAAGGGCTAACACAACAAGGGGATTGGACTATGAGCACATGATAAAAGTGAGAGCACACAAGGAAGGGGTGAGGATAGGTAAGATACCTAAAAAACTAGCTAGCATTTGTTGCCCTTAACGCAGAGAAACTAAAGCAGATACCTTAAAGCAACTGAGGCCAATAGGAAAAGGGGAACAGGTACTAGAGAAAAGGTTAGATCAAAAAGAATTAACCTAGAAGGTAACACCCACGCACAGGAAATCAATGTGAGTCAATGCCCTGTATAGCTATCCTTATCTCAACCAGCAAAAACCCTTGTTCCTTCCTATTATTGCTTATACTCTCTCTACAACAAAATTAGAAATGAGGGCAAAATAGTTTCTGCTGGGTATTGGGGGGGAGAGGGAGGGGGCAGAGTGGGTGGTAAGGGAGGGGGTGGGGGCAGGGGGAAGAAATGAACCAAGCCTTGTATGCACATATGAATAAGAAAGAAAAATAAAAAAAAAATAAATAAAATAAAATTCAAATGCTCAAAAAAAAAAAGAAGAGGTGCAAGCAAAGGGAATACGTAATATATTCAACAAAATAATAACAAAAAATTTCCCAAATCTAGAGAAATCTATTCCCATACAGATGCAAGAGGCCTCCAGAACACCAAACAGACTAGATCAAAATAGAACTACCCCATGGCATATCATCATTAAAACAACAAGTACAGAAACTAGAGAAAGAATATTGAAGGCTGTAAGAGAGGAAAAACAAATTAACATACAAAGGTAAACCCAGGATACTCTACCCAGCAAAACTATCATTCAAAATAGATGGAGCAAGAAAAGTCTTCCATGATAAGCAGAAACTAAAACAAGATGTGACCACAAAGCCACCACTACAAAAGATTCTTCAAGGGATTCTGTGCACAGAAAGTGAAACCCAACATAACCATGAAAGGGCAGGCAGCACCAAACTACAGGAAAAGAAAAAGCAAGAAAATAGTAACCTCAACTTAGGTACACACAATCAAACCTTCAAACAACTAAGACAACTAAATGACAGGAATCACCACATACCTATCAGTACTAACACTTAACATTAATGGACTTAATTCCCCCATCAAAAGGCACCATTTGACGAAATGGATTAAAAAGGAAGATCCAACAATTTATTGCTTACAGGAGAACCATCTCACCAACAGAAATAAGCATAAGCTTAGGATGAAATGTTGGAAGAAGATTTACCAAGCCAATGGCCCCCGAAAACAGGCAGGAGTAGCAATACTTATCTCTGACAAAGTAGACTTCAAACCTACATTGATCAAATGAGATAAAAGGGGAAATAATAAAAGGAGAAATAGACCAAAAGGAAATAACAATTATCAACCTATATACACCCGATGTCAACGCACCCAATTTCATCAAACATACCCTGAAGAACCTAAAAGCATATACTAACTCTAACACAGTGGTCGTGGGAACTTTAACACCCCATTATCATCAATAGATAGGTCATCCAAACAAAAAATCGATATTGAAATCCTAGATCTAAAATATACAATAGATCAAATGGACCTACTTGATGTCTACAGAACATTCCATCCAACTTCTACACAATACACATTCTTCTCAGCAGCACACGGAATCTTCTCCAAAATAGATCATAACCTAGGGCACAAAGCAAGCCTCAGCAAATATAAGAAAACAGAAACTATACCATGCATTCTATCTGATCACAGTGCAATAAAACTAGAACTTAACAACAAAAGTAAAGACAAAAAACATGCAAACAGCTGGAAACTGAAAAACTCATTGCTTAATGAACAATGGGTCACTGATGAAATAAAAGATGAAATTAAAAAGTTCCTGGAAGTCAATGAAAAAGAAAACACAACCTACCAGAACCTATGGGACACAGCAAAAGGCAGTCCTGAGACGAAAGTTTATAGCCATGAGTGCATATATTAAAAAGACTGAAAGATCCCAAATCAATGACCTAATGATACATCTCAAACTCCTAGAAAAACAAGAATAAGCAAATCCCAAAACAAACAGAAGGAGAGAAATACTAAAAATAAGAGCTGAAATCAATGAAATAGAAACCAAAAAAAATACAAAGAATTAATGAAATGAAAAGTTGGTCCTTTGAAAAAATAAACAAGATCAACAGACCTCATGTAAACCTGACTAAAGTGAGGTTAGAAAAAACCCAAATTAGTAGAATCAGGAATGCAAAAGGGGAGATAACAACAAGCACCATCAAAGTCCAGGAAATCATCAGAGACTACTTCAAGAACCTATATTCAAATAAATTTGAAAATCTTAAAGAAATGGACAGATTTCTAGAGACATACAATCATCCAAAACTGAACCGAAAAGAAATTAATCACCTGAATAGATCTATAACACAAAAT